CTATCCATTCTCCTATTGATGGACCTTTAATTTGCTTCTAACTTTTGGTTATTAACATTGAAGTGGCTAGAAGTATCCTTGCAGGGACAAGCTTTAGTAGATACTACCAAATGGTTCTCCTAAGAAATGCAAGGTTTTACTCAAATCAGCATTATATGGAAAAAATAAGCCCACACCCCTACCTCCTACCATACACAGAAAGTCAACGTGAGACAGATCACAGAGCTAACTATGAAAGATAAAACAACAGCACTTCTAGGAAAAAATAATGAGAGAATATCTTCATAACCTTAGGACAGAAAAAGACCCCTTAAGCAACACAAAAGGCATTAACCATAATGGAAAGTATTGATAATTTTGAGTTCTTTAAATTAAGAACTTTGCTCCTCAAAAGAAACAAGAGAAGGTAAAGGCAAGCCCACATGTAATGGATATATGCAATAGAGATATCTCTCCAACAAAGGGCGCAAGAATATATAAATCAAGAATATAGGCCGGGCATGGTGGCTCATGCCTATAATCCCAGCACTTTGGGAGGCTGAGGCAGGTGGATCTCGAGGTCAGGAGTTCGAGATCATGGCCAACATGATGAAACACCACCTCTACTAAAAATACAAAAATTAGCCGGGTGTGGTGGCAGATGCCTATAATCCCAGCTACTTGGGCGCCTGAGGCAGGAAAATCGCTTGAACCAAGGAGGTGGAGGTTGTAGTGAGCTGAGATGGCACTACTGCACTCTAGCCTGGGCAACAAGAGTGAAATTCCACATAAAAAAAAAAAAGGACTTCCACAAATCAAACAGAAAATGACAAGCAACTAACTCAGTTTAAAAAGGTGACTCACAGGCTCAAAAAGGCCCTCAAAGAGAAAATATTCAAATGATCTATTAGCATAAGAAAATGTGCTTAACATCTCTAATCATCAGGGAAATATAAAATAAAGCCACAGGGAGAGACTCACTACATAAACTACCAGAATGGCCAAAATTTAAAAATAAAACTGACTTTACAAAGTGTCAGTGAAGATGTAGGGCAACTGCAACTTTCATATATAGCTGCAGGGAGGGCAGACTGCAGCAGCTTTGGAAAACTGTTTGGCTGGACATATGCACATTCTGTGAACCCCACACCTCCACTTCCAAGTACACACCCAACAAAGATGAGTATACATGTACATCACAAGATGTCTACACGAATGTTCACAGCAGCAAGGCAGGTAATAGCCCCAAGCAGAAACCAACTCGTAAGTGCAAAAGTGAAATGGATTTTTTAAAAATGGGATATATTCATGTAACAGAATACTGTACGTTAATGAAGAACAATGGACTACTGCTATATTCCACCACGTAGTCAATCTCACAGATACGAGACAGAGCAAAGAACAAGGCTCAAAAGAGTAGACACTGAATGATTTCATTTATGTAAAGTTCAAAAACAGCAAAAATCAATGTGGGACACCAGCAGTCAGAACAGTGTACACGAATGTTCATTGCAGCACTGTTTACAATAGCAAGGACCTGGAACCAACCCAAATGCCCATCGACGATAGACTGGATAGGGAAAATGTGGCACATATACACCATGGAATATTATGCAGCCATCAAAAACGATGAGTTTGGGTCCTTTGTGGGGACATGGATGAACCTGGAAACCATCATTCTCAGCAAACTGACAGAGGAGCAGAAGATCAAACACCGCATGTTCTCACTCATAGGCGGGTGTTGAACGATGAGAGCACATGGACAAAGGGAGGGGAGCACTACACACTGGGGTCAGTTGGGGGGAAATAGGGGAGGGACGGTGGGGGGTGGGGAGCTGGGGGGGATAGCAGGGGGAGAAATGCCAGATGTAGGTGATGGGGAGGAAGGCAGCAAATCACACTGCCACGTGTGTTCCTATGCAACAATTTTGCATGTTCTTCACATGTACCCCAAAACCTAAAATACAATAAAATAAATAAATGGGAAAAAAAAAAAAAAAAGAACAGTGGTAACTTTGGGGGAGGAATGACTGGGACAGGCGCGGGGGCTTCTGAAGGGCTCACATGGTCTATATTTTGATTTGGGTGGCCGTTCCTTTTTTCTTGATCTGACTGGTGTAGGCATCTGTTTCTTACAAACTAATGCTCCTTGACCAAGCCAAGGCTCCACCCTCCCTTTCCTGCACTCTCTCCTGCAACTCCCAGTACAGCACCCGTTGCTTCAGTCACTAGATTATAAGCTACATGGTCGCAGCAACCAGGAGCCTCTGCCTTACCCACTTTGGGATCCCCAGCACCTGGCACACAGTGGGTGCTCAACGGAGACTTCTCACGCACATAAACTAACCTCCTTCAAACAACTTGCATTTTCCACTCCACTTTCTGCCTTATCCGACTCCTCACTGTTTCCCATCATCCTTCAAAGCTCAACTCAAACCTCTCCTCCTCCAGGAAGCCTTCCTTCTTGTACCACAACCCTTCTGTAGCTCTCTCTCATTTTCTGGTTGTTATAATTATTGGTCCTATGACTTAGCTTCCTTGGGCATGACCTCTAAAAGGCAGGGCCTTTTCTCCTGCAGGGACCATAAAGAACAATATTCATTGAGTCTGACACTTTTACTTGTGTACCCGATCAAACCACCAAGACTGATGTTGTGCCTCCTGTGTGCCAGGCCCGTGCCAGGTTCTAGAGTGGAGCAGTAGAAAGGCATGGGGCCTGCAGACAAGTGGAAGACATGTACAATAATCACATAACTTCTCTTTCCCACACACAGGTCACACTTGTGAAAGAAAAGTTCAATGTTATAAGATAAAAGCAAGGAGAACTGACCTTGTCTAGGGGGTTGGGAAGGACCTCCCTGAGGACTGGTCGTTTGAGAGAAGGATGAGTTGGCGAGACAAAGGGCATGAGAGTGTGGGCTGGAGAAAGGGGATTGCAAGCAGAGGGAACGGCATGTGTGGAGACCCAGAGGTGGGAGGAAGCATGGTGCTCGGAGGAGGGCAGGCGTGGCTAGAACCCAGGGCCTAAGGGAGCGAATGGCATGGATGTGGCTGGAAGGTCAGGTTGGGGCTAGACTGGAAAGGCCCTCATGGGCTCTGATGACAATTTGGGGAAAGACCATGAGATGTTCCAT